CGCAGAGACACTAATAACAGATTCAATTTCAATTTCCACCATTCAACAACAAAACCAACCACCGAATTCCCACGGCGGCGAACTCCTCCGTTCACCAAGCGATTACTCCTCTTCATGGCGGGGCAATCGCGAAAATGGATGATCCTCGTTGTTACGATTTGGATTCAGGCTTTCACCGGAACGAATTTCGATTTCTCGCAATACTCGTCGTTGTTGAAATCCGCACTCGGAATCTCGCAAGCTCAGCTTAATTATTTAGCCACCGCGAATGATATGGGGAAGGTTTTCGGTTGGTCTTCTGGTTTAGCGCTGATGTATCTTCCTGTTTCGGTTGTTATGTTTATAACGGCATTCATGGGTTTTTTTGGGTATGGTCTTCAATGGCTCGTCATCATCCATTCCATCTCTTTGCCTTATTTTCTGGTAATTTATTTCAATCTCTTCTTGTACACTTATTTTAATTACACTCATTTTGTTTTATATCAATTAATCTTAGCTTCTTAATGTTAATAAAGTCTTTTTTTTATGGATTATTTTTATAATTAGTTATTTTTAAAAAATTTAGTTTGAAAATAATAATGTGATTATTATAATTAATTATCAATGTAAAAAATTTAGTTACTAGTTCTGTGTTAAAAATTTCAAGTATGTTTAATGTTATTTGTACTGTTTTTAACTTAATTAATTAAAATAGTTTTTTTTTTCTTTCCTTTTTAGATTTCGCAGTCCTCTTAATGAAAAAGAGAAAATAGAAGATGCCCTAAGATGTAAAATTTACACTATCTTTCAATGAATGATGCGCATCTCACCAAATCATACTCATATTCTGAAACAATTTAATTGATTTGGTAGATGAATAATTTTTTATTGGACGGTAGTGTAAATTTTAAAAAAATCATGTTGCATGTCCATTAAATTTTTAGGGAAAATATAGAAGCACTACAAGTTTTATGTTGATCAATCATTAAGTGGTTATTGACGTTAAATTTAGTAGGGTGGATCATAATTAAAATCCCCATAATTCAGTTGGATGGATACCTGTGAAAAAAAAGTTCTCTATTGAAAATTTAATCTTAAGAATATTTTATGGCACATATATTTGAAATATCGTTGTCATTCTGTTTTCCTGTTTTGAAGGTTGTGACGTTGTGTGATGTTAGATTTAATGTTTTGTCGCTTATGTTTGCTAGTATCTGGTTTTTTGGTGGCTTTCAAGGATTCATTGTAGATTCTTGGTTTTAAGGATGGTTCCAAAAGCATACAAAAGCATTTCTTTCTTTTTATTTACTTAAATGCTAACTATGGAAGCAGCCATGTTTTAGCAAATAAATTATTAACACCGCATAAGTTATTGCTATTATTATTTATTTAATAGTACTCAACTTATGTGACCTGTACCAGAAAAAACCTGGAATGATATTGGTTATCATTGAACTTATATTCTTTGATCATTAGTCGTAAATTATATATTTTATTGTTAAAATTATATATGAAATACTAATGATTATGTGTATTCAAATGTATTTTCTGCTAACTAAGTAATTGAGTTCACGTGTTTGATTATCTCTAATTGTTTGGAAAAATAAGTTGGAATTTTAGGTGGAACAAATCTTTTTGCAAGATTTTAATTATCCATTAGATGGAGAGAAGATCAGATGACGAGTATATCACATGAATAAAAGTCAAACAATTAAAGTTAAGTAAATACTTGTAAAAAAACTATAAGAGAAATTATTAATAAATATCTTGATACTAATAATTTGAATAGGAGTACGGTTTAAATAAAACATTATGACGAAAGTTGATTCATGTAATCGATTTTATTCCTAGTTAAAACCACGGCCACGTAGATTAAAAGCTACATTTTGTAGCTTCTTAAAATCACATCAAAATATGCATTGTGGTGTGATATAAACCTTACAAACAAAAGCTAAACCAAACATATTCTTATAAGGCTTGATTGTTATTGTTGTAGATTTTATTTATCTTTAGGAGAACTCCACCTTACCATGACCCTTCTCTTAAAAAATGGAGGATTAACATAAAAAAAGAAGAGTGTATTTTCTGCCGATTGTAGAGAGAAATTGAAAAAAAATCTTAAACCTACCCAATTGGAAAAATGGATCATGTCTCCTTTAAACTTTCATTGTAGACTATAGAACCATAATTGCATGAGATGCCCTGTTTTAATCCATTCACACACTACCAGCAGATCAATGTATGAATTTGTTGCAATTTACAAGTGAATAGCTCTTAAATTCAGTTGTAGTTTGCATCAATTAAACAAGTTTCACCTTATATTTATTTTCGGTTCTTATTTCACTTGGTTTTACTTTAATATAAAATACTTATTATTTATTTGACTTGAGCTGGAAGTTTCAACATGACATATATTTGGTTTCGTGTTCAAATCAAGTCACATTCAATTTCTTGTGTTCCAATGCTCTTTTGTTGCAGAGTTTGTGAAACTAAAGTTTGGTGCTTTCGGATTACCACACAGTGTCACCACAGTTTCACAATCTCGCCAACAAACTACACATAATGAAAGTTACCTAATTTAGTCTTTCCCTACAAACTATAAGAGCTTGACAAGCGATGTTCTAGATTTGGGACACAGCTGACACTGTTGATTTCCCTGTAAAGATATGCTGTATATTCAATAGAAGTTTTTTTACCTGAGAGGAATACATTAAAACAATGAGTTTCAGTGATTTTGTAGTTATGCATGGTAAATGGTTACGGGTAACTGAGGTAAGACTGATTAACTCTTACACATTCATGAATTCTGATACGCTGATAACTATCCAACCACACTGACTTACTATGAATTCTCATTGGCAGGTGTTTCTTTTGTGTCTTTTAAGTGGTTGTAGCATCTGCTGGTTCAACACTGTATGTTTTGTTCTCTGCATTAGGAATTTTCCAGTTCACCGAACACTCGCATTATCACTTACAGTGAGTTTCAATGGTGTTAGCGCAGCCCTTTATACCCTTGCTGCCAATTCCATAGACCCATCATCTGATGAACTGTATCTTCTTTTGAATGCCATTGTTCCCCTTCTTGTTTGCATTGCAGCACTTATTCCAATTCTTCGCCAACCGCCTGCAGATCCTCTTCCACCTGACGCATTTAACCGTGACTCGCTAGTATTTCTAATCTTGAACTTCCTAGCCATTTTCACTGGCCTTTATCTCCTCTTGGTTGGCTCAACTGCTTTTTCCATGACTTCAGCTCGGATACACTTTGGTGTAACTATTCTTCTCCTCACCCTCCCGATGATCATTCCTGGCATTATATATGCCCGGGCTTGGGCTCGACGTACCATTCATTCCAGCTTTAAGATAGAAGGATCCAGCTTCCTTCTTGTTCATGATGATGATCTTGAGCTGCATAAAGAACTACTTAGCCGTCACAATAGTGTTGTGGAAATCGGCAATGGAGATTCTTACAACCTGCTAAGTAACAATGGATCAATGTATTCAAGTCAGAAGGCAATCGATAACGATGTGCGTTGTGAGAGGATTATTGGTCAGGATCACTTGACAATGCTAGGAGAAGAGCACTCGGCTGCGGTGCTTCTCCAAAGGTCAGACTTTTGGCTATACTACATTACATACTTCTGTGGAGGTACAATTGGTCTTGTCTATAGCAATAATCTGGGACAGATTGCTCAATCTCTAGGCCTGAGTTCAAGTACTTCTACCCTTGTTACTCTCTATGCATCCTTTTCGTTTTTCGGCCGCTTGCTATCAGCCGGACCAGACTATATTCGTAGGTAAGCATTATCTTCATTCTATAAGACATTATGGTTCTGTTTGGATAAACAGCTTAATTAGTATTTATAGCATATGCACTAATCATATACATGCTTTCAATGTAAACCATAAAAGCTGTTTTCATCAGAAATCAGGGAGAGTTTCCATATACTCTCCCAAACAATCTTACAATTTTATTTTGCCAGTAAACAAGTTTAAATAAGTTAATCCAAACATGTCTTACATAAGAGAAAATAGTTTTTGTTTTCTTTGTCTTCAATTAAAAGTGAATATTGTAAATAAAGTTATAACATTTATGATGAAACTATCTTGTGCATTGCAGTAAGTTCTACTTTGCAAGAACTGGCTGGCTCTCAATTGCACTTATACCAACACCTATTGCGTTCTTCTTGCTCGCTGCATCAGACAGTTCTCTGGCTCTGTATACAGGAACTGCACTAATAGGAATGAGTTCTGGTTTCATATTTGCAGCTGCGGTTTCAGTTACATCTGAGCTGTTTGGACCCAATAGTGTCGGTGTCAATCACAACATTATGATAACAAATATCCCCATCGGTTCTCTTCTCTACGGCTTTCTCGCTGCACTAGTTTATGATGCCAATGCACGCTCAACGCCGGGAAACACGATAATGTCTGACTCAGTAGTTTGCATGGGAAGGCAATGCTACTTCTGGACATTTATCTGGTGGGGGTGCACATCTGTTCTAGGACTATGTGCCAGTGTGCTGTTATTCCTAAGAACCAAACATGCATATGAACATTTTGAGGAACACCGGACTTCAACACATAGTATTGTGGCTTAACTTATGCTGTTAATGAGATACGATGATCAATCATAGTGCGGCTGAATTCATTTCGACAGTACCATAAGCTTCGCTTGTACAGATGTCGAGAAGCAGAGTAAAAGCCAGAGTGTTTTTTTAAGGAATGTATGTATTGTAGTGTTGTATCGTAGAGGTTAGTTAGATATTCATAAGCAAAGAGGATAAGGAGTTTGCTTTGCTCTACAGTGCGCACACAAAAAAAAAAAGAAAGAAAAAAAATTAAGAAAAGTGGTTTGATACACTGAGGAAATAAGACTCTAGTGCCCAATTTTACCTTATGTTTCTTTATTGCAAAAGTAAAAAAAAAAAAGTGAGAACAGAACATATAAGTTTCATATCTTTATGTATTGAAAAAATGAAAATGAAATAAATAAAGAAAAAGTGTTTCTAGCCTAAGCCTCAGGGGTAGATACAAAATGTATGATCTTTTATACATAGAAACAACCTCTCATATGCTAATGCCATTTTTTTTGCTGTAAACATAGAGGCAGCATATTCACGGCAAGCCTTTCCCCTCCTAGCTAGCCTCACTGGTCCATCCTTTACAACCTCTTCAAGTGCCTCTAATAAAGACTCCACATTAGGAGAGAACATGAAACCATACTCATCATCAACCAAAAGAGTACCTTTAATACTAGGAAACCTTGATGCCAAAAGAGGCTTCCCACTCATCATAGCCTCCATCAAAGTAAGATCAAGCCCTTGTGGCCTAAGTGTTGGATTGACAAAAATGTCGATCGCGTTATAAAATGCTCTCAACATGGAAGGACTCATTGATCCTAAAACAAGAACCTGGTTTCCTAAATCCTTGTACCTGCTCCCCCATGGTCCAGAACCAGCAACAATCAAATACACATTAGGATGTTTTGTTATTAGCCTTGAATATGCTTCATGAAGTAGAGGATGACCTTTGTCTTTAACCAATCTCCCCGCTACACCAAGAACTAAACTAGCGTTCCTCGGAATCCCGATTTTGATTCTAAATTCTCTTCCCAATTCAACATCTTCTCCAAACTCATCCTCATCAACACCATTCACAATCACATGAACTCTTTTACTCGGAATCTGGTAAAAGTCCCGTAGCATCTCACCACAACTATCACTAATAGCAACATGATGAGCATAGCTTCTGAAAAATCTTATCTCATTCAACACCTTAGGTACAACACCCTGTAAACTTTTGTTGAAAAGAGGTGAAATTGGTTCATCAGATCTTCTAGCTAAGTCCTGAAAAATACCTGATTGCAAACTCTCAAGTGCTATTCCATGCCAAGACACTGCAAGATTTGAGAGGTTCCTAGCTACATAATGAGGAAGTGCAACACTTTCTGAATGAATAACATCAAAAGGCTCTTTTCTGTTCTCTTCCTCATATTGTTCCCATGCTTTATTGTATCTCCATTTTCCCATTTCACCTTCATGAAAATGGATAAAAGGGTAGTTACCTTGTTGAGTTTCTGAAGTTTTTTCATCTTGAGGTGATGTAAAAATATGAACTTTATGGCCTCTTTGAGCTAGAGCAGTATGAAGAGTGTAGGCATGGCGTTCCATGCCGCCCGGGGTTGTAGCTATAGGCCATTTTCTAGTGAAAACAGCAATTTTAAGAGGTGAAAGTGGTTTTTGGTGTTGAAAAAATTGAAGCTTGTTCCATGAGAATTCAGCTGAAGTAAGATCACCAGACCAGGTTTTGGATTGGTAGGAGTGGGAGGTAAAGGTGGTGCAAATAGAAGTGGTGGTGGGGGTGTGGAGAAGGAAAAAAGCTGGTATAGTGAAGAGAACAATGAAGAAAAGGGTTGTGAAGAAGTAAAAATTTGAAGGGGAATTAGAATTAGTTTTCTTGGATTTGTTGTTTAAGGCCATATCCTGAGAGAGTTCTGAAGATGCTGTGTGCATATAGATTATAGATAGAGATTTATGTGTTTGTGTTTGATTTTGAATTGTGTTGAAATTGTGAAAGTTAAAGGGAAATGGTGGAGACTATGTGATGAGGTATTGAGGGGGTTGGCATGAAAACACTGATGAAAAGAAAGTGCGTTTGGGTTGGAATGTTATCGAAAGTGCGTTTCTCACGCCTATCTTTGAGGGAAAAAGTGGACTTTACATGTTTTGAAGTAATGAGATTATTTAACAAGTTGAGTAAACAAAAAGAGATTATTTAACATGCACAACTGGTGTAATAAGAATAGTTTAATTGAATGATAAATTCATGGTTAAGTTTTATTGGCTTTTGTTAGAAAAAACTTGACTATCACAACATCTTGTGCCTTTTTGAATTTGGATTCGATGGATCGTGAATTTTATGTAGTCAAACAATTTGTGACCGTTGGATCAATCTAAAATATATTTTTATTTTTAAAAAATTAAAATTTTATAAATTTTTAATTGTAGACCGTTGAATATCAATCGAACAGTCACGTTTTTTGACTGTTTGACTATATGAAAATTTATTTTACTTTTTTTATTCAAGTCTTTTGTCTATTAGAGGAAAAAAATAATGTCTTTTTTGTGTTACCTTTTCAACTTTAGAAGTTATATTGTTACGAAAAATAGTTGTACTCATTTGTTGCAGATAGATGAAACAAATGATCAAACAGTATAATGTTACTCTGTGTACGATGACACCAGGAGTTCTATAAATATCTCCAAAAATTTTATCAAATACAACATAACCAAATATATTAATATTGACATCATTTTATCCGGAAATTAGTTGAAGATAAAAAGATCACTATTCACTATTGAGTATGTTCGAACTAACAAACAATTAATCATTTAATTGATAGATTCACAAAAGCTCTCGATGTTATTTAATTTGAAATTTTTCATTCAAGCATAGGTGTTTGCATTATCAACTCATAATTGTTAATAATACTGAATACATAGAAACATAGAGAATGAAAAAAAACTAGAGAATAAAGGTTATACGAGAGTATAAATATTATATGTTAGAAAAATACCAAACTATCTTTATAAAGATACAATAATAATAATAATAATAATAATAATAATAATAATAATAATAATAATAATAATAATAATAATAATAATAATAATAATAATAATAATAATAATAATTGTTATTTCTCCTTAAAATAAAGAAACATTAGTAGAAAACATCGAAAGTTTGTCAATTAAAAAACAAAAAACGTTTAATGGAACGCGTCTTCATAAACAAATCAATAACATGTAAAAGTAGAGGAGACAATACATGGGAGTTCATGAAAGACCGAGTTGTGGAAAATTCGAGTGTGACTCTTGTTATCGCAATACATGGGGTTTTGTTAAGAAAGAATGACACTCATATCATAAAGTAACCAACGCAACCAAATTATTTCAATAATGGTGTATGACATAGCACAATACTCAGCTTCTATAGAAGAACAAGAGACAATATCTTGTTTTTTACTCTTCCAAGAAATAAGAGAGTCTCCAAGAAAGATACAAAACTTTATGATATGTAACACCCCGATTTATTTAATTAATTTTTTGTATATAAATTGTGTGAAATGTATGTGTTATTTGATGTTTTGATGTGTTAGAGGAACCCTTGGATGTAGGGTAGTGAAGTAGAGAGTAGAATTTAAAGTGTTTCGGGTGTGTGAGTAAAAATGTAGAGACATGAGGATGGTGGGAGAGTGTTATTTGTTATTATTATTTAATTAGGACTATTTAAATAAAATAATAGTAATAGTAATGATTAAGAGCATCTTTAGTGGGAGTAAACTAAATTGATAAACTAAGATACTTTTTGTGGATCCAAAGTGATTTGTAGGATTTAAAAAATTTATAGTTGATTTGAATTGTCTTTACTTTAATGATGGTTACTTGTAAAAAAACTAAAATTTGATCCCACGTTTTATATTTTAATATTATAAAATAATAATCAGAGTCATTGAAATTGATAGTGTGCGTTGGTTATATAGTTGTCGAAAACTAATTGTTAGTTCACTTACTGCCATGTCATTCTTATTCCAATGCGAATTGTTTATAACTACCGTTACTATTAAAGAATTTAATACTACAGAACCTGCACTAAAGATGCTCTAAATATTTATTTTATTATTATTATTAAGATATAATAAAATTAATATTTATTTTATTTTGTTGGAATTAGAATTAATTAGAAATATTGGAATAAAATAAGAAAAAGAAATGGAATATGGAGAAACTGTCTATACGTGAAAAAGAAAGGAAGAGAAGCAGAGCAATAGGCTAGGGCAATGGAGGAGAAACGTAGGAAGAACACCATTGATAGGGGTTGAAGAGATCATTGTTAGAGAAATTCTAAGGTAAGAGTGAAAATTTTTTTGTATAAGGGCTTTGCATAATAACATGTGGGTAGGTGTTTTGATTTCCCTTCGATTGGATTTTCTCTCTATACAATGAATTGTGTAATTGTATGATCATGTTGTTTTGATGTATATTGGAAGAATTGGAAGATGGATGAAATGTTGGGTTGTTGTGTGTTGTTAGGAATTAGAATGTGAACTCTGAGTATATGTTGTTTTGTGAAAATTTGGGGTTTTGGGAAAGGTTCGAAACTGATTTTCGTACCGCTGCATAGGAAAAAACTGCTTCTATCGCAGTGGTAACCGGTTACCACTTTTGGTGTAATCAGTTACACCTAAGACAACTTTTATAAAAAAAATTGAATTTTTCAAAGGTGTAACCGTTACAGGTTTTGGTATAACCAGTTGCACTGTCCAAAAAGAGCGTAAACTGGAAAACTTTAAAGGGTGTAACCGGTTGCTGGTTTTAGTGCAACTGGTTACACCGCAGAGGGTTAGCCACTATTTTTGAGCAAGTGGTAACCAGTTACACCTACTGTGTTCAACTTTAAAAATTCATAACTTGAGTTTCGGGTGTCCGTTTGAGGTGTCGTTTGAAGCGTTGGGAAGCTGACGCAGTGAAATTTATATTGAAAATAGTTCAGTACCTGAAGGTGATTTTAAATGGTGTGTAATGGTGGTGGATAGTATGTGGTGTGTGTGTGTGTGTGTGTGTGTGTGTGTGTGTGTGTGTGTGTTGCAGTGTGGTATTGTGTGCAAATGGTATGATGTTACATGCTATGTTACAATAATGCTATTATTAAATGCTTGTAGTATATGTTTCGTGTTTTTGGTGACCAATTATGGTGTAGTATAATGATTAAGGTGAATATCATTGTATGTGTTGTTGTTATTGCATGTCATTTATGAATCATGCATCACGGTGTTTGGATGATGTTTCGTTTTTGGTGAGCCTCAATCCTATGGTGGAGATTGGGTGCGAGTAGCTGGTTCCAGGTGGGAATCAGTGAAGCGTTACCTATGATGATGTTACCGAATTCTGGTGTGCTATGATCCTATGGTGGAAATCGGGATTGAGTGAACCTGAGAGTTCACATTTGGTACCACATGCATTGAGTCATGAAGTTGAGTCTCATTGCATTGCATACTTGTTGTATTATGATATTTGAATTGCGTGGATCATGAGTTGTGGAATGAGTGATTATGTATGTGATGATGGTGTGCTTATATATTATTATTTCAATTTCTTTATATGATTGTGATTTCTCACCCCTTCTGTTTGAATGTTGCATTTACATGGGCATCGTGCAGATAACCTGCAGTCGAGACGTGGATGTGAGTTGAAGAGAGTACTCTTCTTCATGCTTTTGTTGAGTCGGTGTCTCCTCTGATATGTAACACTGGGGGAATGGAACATTAATGTCTTTATTTTATGTTTGGTGGAGATTTTATATGAATCTCTTATGATTAATAATTTCTTATAACAACATTATGTTATAGTTATGTTTTGAAGAATTAATTTAATCAATTGTTGATTGTTTTCACTGCTAATAAAATGTTGGACTTCATACCTATTTTTTATTCTTATTATTTTAAAATTTCATACGTGTTACAGATCCAATTGCATGAGTTAGTTTTGTTGAAAGTAGCATCTTAATTGTTGATTATTTTAAATTACTTTGATTTTTTATTATAAATTACGCGAAGAAAATTAGAGTGTTACATGGTAGAGTTACGATCTATGGGGTCGCCAACCTAATCAGCATCAGAATAAACATGCAATTCCAATGAGAACGATTAGGGAAAGAGAAGGCTCTGAAATTAGGTTACCCCAAGATAATGACATATGCGAAGAACGATTGCCCAATGCACTATAGTAAGAGAGACAACAAACTGACTAACAACATGAACAACATAAGCATTATCTGGTCTAGTAATTGTAAGGTACACCATGCTTCCAACCAAAGTACGATATAAGGTGGGATCTGGCAGAGGAACACCATCAGATGGAGCATATTTCACATTCAACTCAGGAGGACTATCTACTACTCTAGTATCAGAAAGGTGTTTATGTTCAAGAATGTTGGAAATAGACTTGGATTGCGAGAGAAGATAGCCTATAGGAGAGTAAACAACTTCGATGCCCAAGAAGTAATGAAGAGTTCCTAAGTCCTTCATCTCAAACTATTTGGCTAACTGTAATTTCAAATCATTATTCATATCATCACCTGTAATAATCATATCATCAACATATAATGAGAGAAAAATACAAACATGATAAGTGGTCATGACAAACATAGCAGAATCATGATCATGGAGCAAAAGCCAGTAGATGTAGTCATAGTGGTAAACTTCTCAAACCAATCTCGTGGAGCTTGTTTCAGACCATATAGAGTTTTCTTCAACTTACACACTTCCCCCTAATTATGAGAAACACCTTATGGGGGTACCATATAAACTTTCTCTTAAAGATCACCATTTAGAAAAGCATTTTTAACATCCATTTGAGCAATATGTCATTGACGAACAAATGCAATTGTAATAAGAGTGCGTATAGTAGTCATGTTAGCAACATGAGCAAAAGTTTCTTCATAATCTACACCA